CCCCCCCGTCCACAGTTCATGCCATTATAACAATAACACAGAAAGTTTTCACACTGATTCTAGACACACTATGCCATTGTAACACAGAGAGTTTTCACATAGAATCTAGACGCAGTTCATGCCATTAGGTAGTACACAGAGAGTTCTTACACAAAATCTAGACACAGTATGTCAAATATAACAACACACAGAATTCTCAAATAGAATCTAGACACACTATGCCATTATAACACAGAGAGTTTTCAGACAGAATCTAGACACTGTATGTCAATACAACACACATAGTTTTCACACAGAATCTAGACGCAGTATATCATTATAACCACACATTTAGTTTTCACACGGAATCGAGACACAGTCAAGTCAATATAACACATAGAGTTTTTACATAGAATCTGGACGCACTATGCCATTATAACAACACACATAGTTCTCACATACAATCTAGACACAGTATGCCATTGCAACTCATAACATCTAGACACAGTATGCCACTATAATACACAGAGTTCTTTCACATACAATCTAGACACACTATGTCATTATAACACAGAGAGTTTTCACACAGAATCTAAACACACTACATCGTATGCTCTTGTAACACAGAGGGTTTTCACACTGAATCTAGACGCGGTATGTTGTAAGTAGTTTTGTTGTTGAAAGCACAGCAAGACTTCATCAGCTGTTTTGGACAACCAACGGACTATCAAAAAGATTAACCTTTTGGAATAGATAGATTAAATGTGCTAGCAAACTTTTCATTTCGTTTTTGAAGACGTAAGGAGATTTCAGAATGAGGGTGTGTTTTAACTTTGTTCTACGCTTTCATTCAGTGCCAAAATGTCCTATCTTCACAACAAGACCTGCCGTCTTAGGACAGAAAAACGTGTATGCCAACATGAAATTTACCAACTTTTTTGTGTTTCAACTTAGTTACAAATTTGGTCATCTGATTATAATTTTATGTCAATATGCATTGGCCAGTTTAACTTTTGCCTGATTTTGCTGAGGTATACAGTGACTAGTTCTGGAGTAATTGATTAAAATTTCTTTTTGTCATAACAATATAATAATAATATCAATATAATTCAATTAGGTCACTACGCATAATTATGTTCAAGAAAGGCCCAAAATTCCCTTAATTTTAATTATACAGCCACAAAAAAAAGCCAAGATAGAAAGACGTGCTATGTAAAGGTGTTTCTTCCCTGTATAAAAACGCTACTTTACCTAATTACGCAGTTACGCTTTTTTTGGGGGGTCATAAAACGGCAGAGATGTTGTTGGCCAGGGAGGTGAGGAGCAATGATCAACTTTTCCTGAGATTGGACGATAACTTCTGACACGTGTGCAGAGGCAAGAGATAAGAAGAAGAATCAAGGACATAAAACTGAGACAATTACATAGCAATAATTGTATATATCACAAAGGTAGAGTGAATCCATTTCAACATTACTTTCTGATCGAATTGTACTTCCGTTTCTGTTCATGTGAGTAAATGTAAGAATGGCATGGAATAAAGAAATTATAATAAAAACATTCTGCTGAATTTTTATTGTTCGTGTATGTGTGTGAGTGCCTATGTGTGCGTGTGTGTGTGTGTGTGTGTGTGTGTGTGTGTGTGTGTGTGTGTGTGTGTGTATCAGGGGCGGCTCGTGGGGCCAAAAAGTGGGCATGCACTATTATTAAGTTATCACAAGCTGAAGATAGCCAATGGCGTAATAAATGGGATGGTGTATAACTAGTCGCTTTGATTTCTAGAACTAAATCTTTTTGTTAGCTAAACATTAATTTCGTTCATCCTGCATTAGAACTGAACACTCAAGTACCCGGTAATAACTTTCACCACTCCACAACAAAACCATTCAAAGACGCAACTCATAGGACGGTGGCTTGAGTATGTCACGTTCACCGTTCACTTCTCTCAGGTTCACGGCCACAGAGTCACTTAAAATAGCCTAGTGGCAAGACAATGAGCCAATCAGAATTCGCTTGAGCACTCTGCTGGATTGCTCCGGGATTCACCTAATTTTGGCATAGAATAGTGTACAGTCTATTGCGTTTATTTTTAGACTGCCTACTGTGTGCCATGTTTAGGCATTATTCGGCAGGAGCACATTTGAGATGTGCCGACTTATTAATATTAATCTAATGTACCTCCAAACTCGCTACGAGTATCATCATCGCTTGGGTTGTCCCAAAGAGCGGTTTATCGGTCAGGTTATCATTGTTGAATCTCCTATTACGTTTAGTTAAAGCGCGTTGGCTTTGTTTTACGGCGCTATAGACACAGAAATGACAGTTACGGCCCCAGCAAGGACCTTGTTTTGATAGATCTAATATATTTGACTAGTATTAGTTTCTGGCGTCTTTTATTTTATTATTGTGGGTGCTTTACGTAAAAGAGCAATACAAAATTTTGAGCGGCACTGCACGACCGTGCTCTATGGACGAACCGCGCCTGGGTTAGGGTTTAGAGGATAGGGGTTAGTGCATAGAAGTTTAGGGTTTGGGGTTTAGGGTTTAGGGGTTAGGGGTTAGGGTTAGGGTTAAATGTTTTATTTATGGGAATTAGGGATTAATATATTGATTAGGGCATACGGGTTAATATCTAGAGAAGAACATTTGGAGTTAGGGGGAAATGTTTATGGATTAGGGGTTATGGGTTATGTTTAAGTGTTAGGGTTAGGGTTATGGTTATGGTTAGGGTTAGGGATAGGGTAAGTAATCGGATTAGGGTAAGGGTTACCGGTTTATTGGATAAGGGTCAGCGTTTAGAAATTAAGATATAGGGGTTAGTGTTTGGTTCATAGAAGTTAGGGTTAGGGTTTAGTGGTTATAGGGGTTAGGGTTTAGGGGGTTACGGTTTAGGGTTTAGGATTTAGGGGTTAAGGTTTGTGTTAGGGTTAGGGTTAAATATTTTATTTACGGGAATAAGGGATTAATGAATATTGATTAGGGAATACGGGTTAAGATTTAGTGAAGAACATTCGGAGTTAGGAAATATACCATTCATGTCAGAATGATAGAAATTTATAGTGGAGGAAAAATGAATAGCTTTCATACTCAGTTTTAAATTGGTCTATTAAAATCTTTTGTACAACAGTACTGCACGTTTTCATATTAGTATTTTTTAAAACATACCAGGGCTTCTAATAAGCGAAAAATCACTGCCGAATAACCGTGAACACAACATCGCGTTTCATAAAGTGGGGAATTCACGACCGCCCCATGCGAGATTCGTATAATATATATATATATATATATATATATATATATATATATATATATATATATATGAAAGTTGTGTAACCCACACTTTTTCGAAAAAAATGCCCATCTACGGTAAAAAAAAAATAATTTAAAAATACTAAAGTATTATTTCTAAAAGGTAATTGACTAGATTTATCCATTTTAGTTTCTGTCTCGAAAGTCAAATGGCAAAGAAAATCAGTGTTTTCCCTCTCCTGAAAAATTTGCTTTGTGTGGATGAATCATTAGTGGCGTCGGTGGCCCAGTGGTTAGGCTCTCGGACTCGCAACCGTAAGGTCGTGGGTTCGAATCCCGTCAGGGACCCGACGTTGTGTCCTTGGGAAAGGCACTTTACACGAATTTTCCTCACTTCACCCAGGTGGGAATGGGTACCCGGCTATAGACAGCGAAAGATCTTGTCAGTTTGTTAGTGTTTGAGCGCTTAATCGGCTGCTTGCACTGTATGCTTCCCGGGAAGCTGAGAATGTTTCTGAGTGTTCTATGGTCTGCTGGGGTAATAATATAGTGTAAAGCGCATAGAGCCTGCTGTTGAGCGGGGATATGCGCTATACAAATGCTATCTATTATTATCTATTATTTATTATTATTGACTATCACGATTTCATCGGGCGACCGACGAATATGTAAAATTATAATGAAAAAATTGATATGGAAAAGAGTGCTATTTGCATGATAATGGCGTACACATTGTGAATAAAATGCTTCGTGGGGTGTCTTCCCAAATGTCTGTGAGCACAGCATTTGTATTTTGGTAACAGCAACCGCTTAAATAGATATTATCACTGTTTCACCGATGATTTATTTTGCAGATAGTCAATGATTCACATTGTAAACGAAATTAAGGGCTTGACCGACGACGCTCCCTCCTCTTCATGCTAAACGTAGCATCTCACATCCTTTGTCACCAAGTTATCTATTGTAAAGTTGTGCAATTTAGTTTTGCAATAAAAAGCGCTGAAGCTTGTAGGCATGCAAGGCGCCAGGAGGACAGACTGATCGAAGAGCCATGGTGAGTACACAAATAAGTCCTACCCCCCCTCCCCCCCCCCCCCACCCCAACAAACCTCTGTCGAGACCTGTAAGCGGCAAAGTTCTAAGCCTATTAATTTTGTTTTCAACACAAGACCCAAGTCACTAAGAAAAGCAGGAGAAATTTAAACCGCAATGTTTTGGCGCTTTTGCCTGTCAGTTATTATGGCGACGAGACGTCCGTACATTAATTGCTTCATCTGTGACTGTTTCCTCAAGCAATTGGCTAATTAATGGAACATCTTTGGGGGCATCCAAAGTCAGATCAGAGGAATCAGTGTGAATGTGATTAAAACAGTTAATTTTTTTCCTATAGGCTGTATCTTATAGTAAATATTTCATTATATAAAAAAACAAACGGGAATGCTATTTATTTTTACGTATAAAAAGGGCAATTTTAGTCAGTGGGATGTCTAAATGGGCTGGTAGTAAATGTCAACAATAGAGCCCCCCTCCGTCTTTGTTTACCTTCTGCTTCATTACAGTTCGTACTTTTTTGTATTTTTGCAAAAGCAAAACTCAATAGTTTGAGCTTTGAAACTCTATTATATTATAAATATTCAGTATCAAAATTTTATCATTTTCATGATACGATATATAATGTATGTTTGTAACCTATTGCAATATATCTATAGTTTTCTCACAAATAGTTATAATATAATAAATTCGATACAATAATAGTACGACTTCCAACATTCTTCTCAACAAAATGTCTACCCTCAAGACCATTGGAACGGTGGCTATAATGGTAGCATGTTTTGCTGTCATTTATCCTCGATTTATGCATCCTTTGATATTGAGAGCGTTTGGTCTTAATGACCCTCCTAATAAACATGTCGAAGGTAAGTGTATAAAGAAATGGTAATACCTCAGTGTTGCAGTCCCGGTCCCGGAAGTCGAGAGCTGCCAGGGTGAAAATCATTGCAGAATGAAAAGATCCATTTTAGTAGACTAGATCTATTTTTCGGCACAATTTCAATGTTTTTTTTAGTGTGATGAGAACAATTTTGGCTCTAAAAACTGTCGCAAACCATTGTTTTTGCGAATTCAGCAAGGGGGGTGGGGGTGTAGTGTAGCTGTGTGTATAGTCACTTGTCTTTCTGTCTCTTATCAGGAAAGAAAAGTTCCAGAAATCTTGTTGCAATAATAATATTAGACTGATGGTTACAATATCATCCACAGAAAGGGAATACTTGCCATTTAAAACTAGACTCAGGATAAAATTAGGAAGGACTTCCGTAATGAGTGACCACCCCATCAAACACAATAAAGAAGAGGCCTAGACCTAACCCTAACCCTACCCTTACCCCTACCCCTACCCCAAGCCCTCAATTCTGCTCTGTCTCATAGTGGTCGCTCGTTACGGAAGTCCTCCCTAAAATTAATAAAAATTGTAAAGAGGAAATAAAAAGCAAAGATTAAATATGCCATGATGAATGAATACTGTATTGCATCCAGCTCTCTCACTAATTTTTGAAAGATAAAGACAAGCTTCGAGCCACCATGTAACCATTATTTATACTGCAAAGACAGTGAACCTCAACATGTGAAGCAATTTACAGCCAGCCATATAATTACATCATGATGAATTTTTAAATGAAGATAAAACAATACTAGTTAACTAGTAATACTACCATATTTGTCCCCGACTTCCTCCTCACTGATTCTCCCATTCAAAACTGTGGCATCTGTGAAAAAACCTCAAAACAAAAACAAAAAAAGAAGAAGAAGAAGAAAACAGGCAAAAAAGACAGGGCTGCAAATAGCGATCAGTGATGAAAACCGTTAGTGCAACTTTTGTGAAGGCGAGTAACAGCTCAATCAGGAACCCCCCCCCCCCCCCCCTTCCACCATTATACCACTTGTGTCACCTCCCCTCTCTACCCTCTCTATCATTAAAACTGGACCAACCTTGCATTCAACGAGACTTCTGCCGTAAGCTGACAAAATGCCTTTTTTTATTCACAGCAGTTTCGAGAGAAAGAGTTGTTTTTTTTGTCAGTGTTACAATCATTGAAAGTTTAGAGTGCTTCCAAAAATTGAATTCTAATTTATTTTTTAGAAACTAGATCTAGTTACAATTTCACTTTGATTTTTTCACACAAGTAGGGTTACTGATCAGGCTTTCGATTTAGCAAAAATAAAAAATGTTAGCCCCAAAAGGAAAAAAGGCGTTTGTCAGCTTACGGCAGACTTTTGATTGAATGAGTTGGTCCTGATTATCTTCTTATAATATGATCAGAGGTTCATTGCAGAAGAATAGGGCATGTTAAATATTTTATTCAAGAGAGCGTCCATTACGCTACAAGGTAGGCAGATAGACCTTGCTTAAATTTATTTGTCAGTGTCTTGGTGAAATGAGATAGAGAGTGTGGCGTCGATGGCCTAGTGTTTAGGCTGCCTGACTCGTAATCGTGAGATTGCGGGTTCGGGGGTTCGAGCCTCAGCTCGGTCCAACGCTGTGTCCTTGGGAAAGGCTTTTTACACGAAACTCCCACTTGGCTCGGTCCTTTAGGAGATGGACGTTAAACTCGGACGTCTCGCTTCTTAAATAACCTAATAATAGTGTTGATAGGGGCGTTAAACCCTTAAACCCATACCATTTCACCATATTTTTTTTTAGATAGGAGAGGAGTCCGTCTGCAGCTAGCTGTATGTTCTTTTAGTGTGGTGTGTGTGTGCTGCTTACTACAAATCTTTCTATTTCCCCACAGAAAACACGATGTACCCTCCGGGGTTCAACAAGGGTCACAGACCTCCGGGTGACAAGAAGGCGGACTCTGTCACGGAGGATATTAAGAGACATATGAGGGTGAGTTTTACCGAGATACAGAGTTCTATCTTACTTTGTACCTGGTTTTGAGAAATTTGACGTTAAAAATATTGAGTGGGTGGTTGGCGGTTGCTCTGGTGTGGTTTGCTTCTCTTCTTTCCTCTCAAACATCTATCGTCCTTATCTCCCATTCTTCTTTTTTATGTTTGTTACTACTCTCTTGTAACACCTCTAATCTTCTGGGGCTCATATGACCTGATGCAGTTGCGAGCGCCATAAAACCTCTACTAAAACTAGCTAAAACTAAAAATTTTGAGTTTTACAACGTGAACTATTTTTTACTGTAATGCTTTTTGAATATCCTAAATAATCTTACAACTTTGATAGAATAGATTTGGTTCCTGACCTCATTATGGTCCTCATAATTCAATACGGCCAAAAATGTCCGAGATAAAACGTTAATTCTAAGGTAGTGATTTGTGTGGTTAGTCAAGAGTAGAGATATTGAATCAGTGCAAAATGGGGTATGGAACAAAATACAATTTAGAAATTGTGTAAAGACGGACACCCATGCTGGAGGAAAAAAGTAGCAGTCTTAAAGACGACTGGTGGACATCTTACACAGAGTCATAATAATTTATTTTTTTTAATTGCAAAGGGGTGGGGTGCGGAGAAGGGAAGTGGCCTTTTGTGCAGGTGATTGGAGTCAGGGAAACATTAACAACTCACTTCATCCCCCTGACCCAAGCTCTCCGGCTGGCCACAGAGAGATCACGTCTCTTTCTTCCCTCTTCCCGCGACACCCAAAATGGGTATTAAAGCGGCGGATAAAATGAAATGAAATGAAGTGAAAATGATTGTCTTTCATACAAGTGGCCATTGGAGTGGGTTTGACCAAGCAATGCTGCCCTCGAGTTCTGAGTTACCCTTCTCGGTTACATCCCTATTCCCTTTCTTGATATTTGTTTAGCTGTCCCTGTGGTTTTATGCAAAAAAATATTCTGAAATTTATTATGCAAACTGAGCCCAAAAATGTGAAATTATGTGATTCTGTTAATTTTGACAAAGAATGATGAAGGAAAATAATCAGAAATTGTGAAAAAAATTATCAGATTTTGCTAAATTATGCGGGGTGAATAAAACCATGGGGACAGGTTTAGACTGTTGAATCATGGAAAACAGCCTGATGGGGCATATTACAACTTTGCCGCAAGCTGATGTGAAATTATTTTTTATTTGCATTTTTTCAAATCAGTTCTAACTGTCCTCACTTCTTTTTTAATGTCATCCATTTTTTTATTTTTGTGTGTGTGTGTGTGTTTGTAGGGAAGGGGGGGGGGGGGGGGGGGTTAAACTTTAATACTGTAGTCAGAATGTAAGAAAGTAATTGGGCTTAGCCTGTATGTAATCTTGATATAAAAGAATGTTTTTGTCCTTGAGCTTATTCTGAATTTGGAGAAGAAAAAAAAGATACGAGTACTTTTTCTTCTTAATTTCTGTGTTTCTGTATATATATGTGAAGTGTGCTTACAAAATCAGTTACTTCTCGGATTTGAGCCCTATGGAAATAGGTACATCACGCTTATAGGTGAAGTTTTTATAATTAATAAGTATGAAATAATGAAAAATACGTTATACCTAAAGAATATGGCATCAATAGAAAATCTACAAATTTGACCTTAGTGTCAATTTTTGGCCAATATCTCCATTTGTGGATTGCGAGAAGTAACTCATTTTGTCAGCATGCCTCCCATATAGTACTTTTCATCATGTGTGCTGTGTAATAATTGTGTCACCGATCAACTGTTCTTTGAATTCAAAATATTTTTTTCCCTTCTTGTCTGCTTTCCCTAGCACGGGCCTCACCCAGGCATGAGGGCGGCGGCAGAGATGCAGCGACAGCAGAGCCAGCAAGGGTCGGGCCGGGGTATGATGGGAGTTGTCCTGCCCATGTACGCCATCGGCATCGTGCTCTATCTCGTCTACACTTTGTTCAAGGTGAGAGATTTTCTTCACAATGCTTTTCAGACATTTATTGATTTGTATTGAAACTGACTAAGTCAGCGGTGTAAATAATTTTGCAGCAGAAAGTGCAGAATATCATACTTAACACTTTGCCACCTCATCTCGCCAATCGGCGATGTTTACCACCCGGTTTCTTTGGATTTTCCCCAAAATATGATGGCAAAGTGTTAATTAAAATAATCTTGAACTTGAACATTAAAATTAACAAATGAAATGGCTGCAATCCTTCTGGTCCAAAATTGCTCATGACGGAGATTATATCAGCTTATTTCTGGACAGGCGCTATGTTCCTCTTATAGTTTTTAAAGTACTTTGACCCTTTGAGCCCTGTACGCCTATATTACCTTCTGGCTGACCTCCTGAAAGATTCACGTCTATATTACTCTCACATTTATATCATCGTCAGAATCACATTTCATGTCCCACTCAGGGTAGTCCTCGTCCTTACCAGCTTCTAATTCAGAAAGATCTTCAAAATAATCAGCAACGTCCTGTGTAGTAAACACTATTTTCCGGAGGGGGGCTGGGGAAAAGAGTCTCGCTCACCAGTGTATCGATGGGTAGGCATAATAATAATAATAATAATACTCGGGTAATAATAAATGACATTTATATAGCGCTCAACCCCGATTAAAGTACACAGGCTCTGAGCGCTTTACAATACAGTACAGCGTACAACAGTAACATAAAACGTTGTGTTCTGACTGCATACAGGCAGTTTTACGCACCACCGGTGTATCGATGGCTGGGGCTGAGAGGGTTAACTGTGTTTTATCAGAGGTGACTGTTATATCTGAGGAGTTTCATTTACCATCTACATTCAGACTTGTCTGACTCTACTCCTGCCCCCCCGGGGCGGTACCACTGACTGAAGTATCTTTAGGCCATTCCCATAGTGGGGACATTAACCATGTTCTTATGCACATTAAAATTGTAATTGTAAATGGGCTGGTTCATCAATGTCGCACTCATAACTGTGCCTGAACTTCAAAAGGGAATTGCTGCTGTTTTCTTTCCTAATCCTTACTATCGTCATTTTTTCCTCTACTTCTTTTGTATGTTTGTCACACTCCTGTGACCCGCTATTTCCCGGGTGCCTTGATAGTCGAAGCAGACTTTATGCTGTTGAAGCTAGAGAGGTGAGCCGAATAAGTCTGATTCCCTGTAAGGACTTCTCTGTTGACACCCACCCCTTGGCGCTCATATGACCTTATGCAGTTGCGAGGGCCGTAAAACCTCTACTAAAACAAAATATCTATCGTCCTTATCTCCCCTTCTTCTTTTTTTAATGTTTGTTACTCTCTTGTAACACCTCTAATCTTCGGCACTTATATGACCTTATTGCGTTGCAAGTGCCGTAAAACTCTTACTAAAACTAAAAGACTTGACTGACTCTACTCCTCTCAGGTCTTCAACAAGTCCAAGAAGACCAACAACAACAACAGTTCCAACAGTACCGTTTCTCCGTGGGCCGCACAGGGACCCACCTCGTATTCGCGTCGCGGGGAGAGCTCCCACGACCGTATGGGTTTCCCCGCAGACTTTGACGGCAGCAGCGACGTGCGGAGCTTCCTGCAGGACCGACAGCAGCGGAAGGATCTGGAAGATCTGCTGACCCGCGTCGATGACAAAAATGTCTGTAAGTGGCCAGAGTAGCAGTGTTTGGCGCTCATGTGACCTTATGCAGTTGCGAGCACCGTAAAACCCTCTACTACTAAAAAAATAATAATAAAAGAGTAGCAGTGTTGTGACGAGCCGCCGTTAAAAGTAAAATGGATAAATTGTGATCGGTTTCAGCGGATTCATTGTGTTATTATACCTCATCTCATTAAAATGGTGTCAAATTTCAAAGAATAGATATGCATAAAATTTGAGTGTTAGTGATCTTTGATAGTTTAACCCTATCCGTACGTCGTGTTTTACTATCGTATCCATACGACGTGGGGAACTCTGTGCCACCACTTTCCGAAGAGGAAATTTACTCGTTAATCCGATCCACACGCTTTGCGTAGTAGTCTGTCAAAATGATTTTTTGAGAAATACTGAAAGTTTCAAAGAGATCTTCGTACTAGAAACATTCTAAAATGTGAAGAATACAACCCCGGGGGATGTAAAATGACCCCAGGGCGTACGGATAGGGTCAATAAGATATTTTATATCCTCTCCTGTAAGATAGATAGACTTCTTCAGAGATGGTCCATCTGTGCCAGAACGCCGTCAATGTTGTCACTCTCGTTTAATGACAGCGGGGAGTTGGCGGGTGCTCTGGTGTGATTTGCTCCTTCTTTCTAATCAGACTTCTACCCTCCTTGTCTCTCCTCTTTCTTTTCTTTTCTTTGTAGGTTACTCTCTCGAAACAACTTGAATCTTCGGCATTTACATGACCCGATTGTGTTTGCAAGGGCCGTGAAACGGTATAAAAGCTAAATATAGAAAATGGAAGATTAATCACAGAATCCTCTGCGTGCTCATACGACCTTATGCAGTTGCGGGCGGTGTAAAACTTGTATCAAACTGAAAAACAATAGTCAAAAAACAATAGTCACTCACTGCTGTTTTCCTTTCTTCTCCCCCCCCCCCCCCCCACACACACACACACACACACACACTCAACCCCCCTCTCCCCCACACACACGCACGACCGCACATACACTACACACACCCACAAACACCCACCCACACACACCACACACACACACCACACAAACACACCACACAAACACACCACACACAATCACCCAAACTCACATACACACACACACACACACCACACATGCACACCACACTCTCTCACAAACAAACAAACACCCATACACACACCCCAACATCTGTTGACCGGTCTCTGGGGGCGTGTCCAGCGGTGGAGGAGATGCGCATCCTGCAGCGCCGCCTGGAGGAGACGGAGGCCCAGATGACCCGCATCCTTCAGGCCATGCAGTCGGTGCAGTCCAACGTGGATCACATGGCCGGGCCCGAGATGACCGACGGCATGGCCGCTGCAACTGATGATGCTGATGCTGCTGCCCCCAACGCTCCGCAGGTGCGTGGGTGGGTGGCGGAGGGTGCTCTCGTGCGGTTTTGCTCCCTTTTTTTCTATCTAACATGTCGTCTTCCTCAAGCAAACATCTGTCGTCCTTATCTCTCCTCCTCCTTCTTTTTTGTGTTTGTTACTCCCTTGTAACATCTCTAGTCTTCGGCACTTATTTGACCTTATTGTGTTGCAAGTGCCATAAATGGTAAAACACTTACTAAAACAAAATTATCTCTCCCCCTTCTGTTTTGTGTTTGTTACTCTCTTGTAACATCTCTTGTCTTTGGCATTTATATGACTTCTAATAGTGTTGCAAATGCTGTAAAACTCATGCTAAAACTAAAGAATGAGAAGGTATGTTTGTGGCCTTTTGAACTTCTCTTGCTGCTCATGTGTTGAAATTATGTTTCAGGACTAAATTTTTAAAATATTTATAATTTCAATTTTTTTTAGCTTTATGTAACAATAAAAAAATTCCTTTCTTCTTAAATTTGTTTAATATTTATAATTTCAATTTTTTTCAGCTTTATGTAACAATAAAAAATCCCTTGCTTCTTCAGACCAAGAGTAATGATTCCAGCCCAGACATGGACAGCTATGAAGTCGTTGACAAGAACGAGGATGGAAAGAAGGTAGAAGGAGATGAGGAAGGAAGCATGCCTGTGACAAAGAAGAAGCAAGAGGCAAGAGGAGGGGAGGAAGTAAAGGAAGGTGGAGAGGAGAAGAAGGAAGGCAAACGTGAAGTGAATTTAGATGGCATTGACAGTGAAGAGGAGGAGGAGGAGTCTGGTGAGAAGAATGATGAACGCGATGCCGATGAGGAGGAAGAGGAAGAGGCTGTTGTTGAGGAGGAAAGCTCAGAGAGGAAAATTCCAGAAATGAAGGAGGAAGAAGAAGATACCTCTGTGAGGCAGAGAAAAATGAACGCAGAGGATTAATGTTGACGAGAATTCAATGGACGCTGACGTGACGTGATGTAATGCAATATGTGTTGAGTCGAAGGAGCTCTCTCTCTTTCCATCTCTCTCCCTTTCTCCTTTCTCCTTTCTTCCCCCCCCCCCTCTTTTCTCTCTCTCTCTCTCTCTCTCTTTCCCTCCCCTCTCTCTCTCTTTCCCTCCCCTTCCTCTCCCTCTCTCTCTGTCTCTTTGTCTCTATTTTTTTCTCTCTCTCCCTCACTCCACCCCTCCCTCCCTTCCCCCCTCCCCACCCCCCTTCTTTCTCTCTCCCTCCCATCCTCCCCCCCCTCTTTCTCTCTCCTCCCCCCTCACCCCCCCTCTCTCTCCCTCCCCCCTCCCTCCCTGTGTGTCTCAGTTTTGGTCTATGCATTTGAGCCATGAGTTTATCATGTAGAGTCGGAGACAGGCTCTCTGGTATTTTCCTATGAGCTTTTCGATGGCGTTGTTCTTCTTGTCATGAAAAATACAAAAGTCACAATCATAACCTTTGCTGTTTTCACTGTAATACGCTTAGTGGACTCCCAAAGAACTATAATAATATGTATGAATTCTTTTATTTGATCAACTGCTGGTGGCTGGAAGGAACGAGTGGTAAATTAAGATTATTAATCCTATCCGTACGTCGTGTTTTACTATCGTATCCGTACGATGTGGGGAACTCTGTGTCACCACTTTCTGAAGAGTAAATTTACTCGTTAATCCGATCCGTATGCTTTTCACAGCAGTAGCAGTCTGTCAAAATGATTTTGTGAGAAATACTGAAAGTTTCAAAGAGATCTCTGCGCTAGAAGTATTCTAAAATATGAAGAATACAATCCGGGGGGGGGGGGGGGGGGGGGGTACAAAATGACTCCAGGGGGAACGGATAGGGTTAAGAATAATCAAATGCAGTTTTATGTTAGCCTAACATAAAAAGCTAATGTGCAATATTTGGGGTTGAGTAACTTTTGGTATGGCCTGGTGTTTAAGTTTATTAAGTGGCCCAGTCTTGACTTCGGTTTGGTTTGTTTTCATCAATGAATATTCATTACTTTGACTCGCCTGGACACGGCTGTTAGTTCTAAATACGGTTGTCCCTTCCCTCCTATCTGTCCCCGTGGTTTTATGCACCCCGCATAATTTAGCAAAATTTGATGATTTTTTACATAATTTCTTATTATTTTCCTTTGTCATTCTTTGCTAAAATTAACAAAATCGCATAATTTCATATTTTTCGGCTCAGTTTGCATAATTTCAGAAGTTTTCTTGCATATAACGACGGGGACAGTCCTATTCCTATGTTGTGTTTTTATATTAAAGAGGAGTAAAGTAAAAAAAAATGTCTTCTTTCCTATGAAACATCTAATGTCCTTATCTCCCCTTCTTCTTTTTTAATCTTTGTTACTCTCTTGCAACACCTCTAATCTTCTGGCGCTCATATGACCTTATGCAGTTGCGAGCGCCGTAAAACCTCTGCCTATACTGAAACTAAAACAGAATCATACCGTGTCTGCCTGCTTCTCTTTTTCTTCGTCCTCTCTTCCACCAAGGCATACCGTTTCATCTTTTTTTTTTAGCAAAACATTGCATATATATAAGCTGTATTATACCTCTATATGTTGGTAGAGGGGGGGGGGAGGGGTTGTGTCAGTAAAGAGAAGCTATTCAACACAATAGCAGATGTTAAGTGCTTGGAGAAAAGATACAGGCTGCACATACTACGTAGGAGTCAGCGAAACCCACTGTAAAAGATCAAGGGGAAGACCTTGTGGAACCTGGAGAAGAGTCACGGAAATGGATGTACAGAAAAGTGGGAAGACGTGGAGTGACATCAAGTGACTAGCCCAGGATAGGGAAAGGTGGAGGGTGTTTGTTCGTGGCCTATATCCTGACCCAGGGTGAGAAAGAAAGGCAATGATGATGATGAAGTGCTTGGGAAAAAAAAATTCATAAGAGACAGGCAGAAATTTCAGAGAGAAGAAAAATCTAATAGTAATAGTGGCACCCACCCTCCAACCTTCCAACCTTCCAACCACCAGCTGTTCCTGTGTGTTTTTAAGCATAAATGTGAGGCAACGTGGTGGAATCAGGCTCTCGTCAATTTTTGGGCGTAGAGAGTTATTGGTATAATCTTAAAGCTTGTTCACTTGTCTTTATTTGGATGGAAAAAATATCAATTTATCTTGAATACAAGTTGAGATATTTGCGAATGAAGGAGATGGGGTCACCTGTTTTCAGAGGCAAAATTAGTGAGAAAATGGCCTCCAAAGATTAGTTATTTCCTTAACTTTAGAGTCTGTGGTAACTTGAAATTTACTTTTTTTGTGCCTTTAATCAACATTTTTAAGAAAAACCCACACAGAAATGAGTTTTTTATGGGCATAAAATGTGTTGAGCCAAAAAACAAAAATTTGATAAAAATTCACAAGCTTGCGGAAAAATGCAAGTTTATTCGCTTTGATTATTTTGACGAGAGCCTGATTCCACCACGCTGCCTCACAAATACATGTGTGTGTGTTTCTCATATTTACCGCAATTATTTTTTATAATGACACCACCCACATAAGATGTACATGAAAAAGAAAAACAACTTTGAATCTCTACATTCTGATGTCTTTAAATTTTAATGTCTAACCATAATCAAGATGTGTGATTGTGACGATGGATCCTGCATTTCCAAGAGGTTTTTCAAATTATGTTGCAAGGTGATTACACTGTACTGTGTGTTAAATCTTAAATTAAATTTAAAAGCCACAGCAATAGTTGTTATTTTTTCTCGATGTTGTCCTAGTTAGCTCCCTCCCTCCGTTGTCATCGCCAGTCTCTGCATGTCCCTGCGGTATATTTTGCCGAGTTTATTTATTTATTTATTTATTCATTGTTCACGTTCATGATTATGATTATATATTGATATTAATAATAATAAGGTACCAGAAATCTCATTTCCTGTACGTTTTCTTGTATTGTATGTCGTCATGTATTCTGTGCCGATGATGACCTTTGACCTCTTCAGGAAAGCTGTTGGGAGTGTCTGTTTGATTCATGCATACATTTTTACGATGTAGAGTCTATTTCTCATGGTCTTTTTACAACCAAAGTTCATGTCCGTCGTCTAAAAAATGACTTCTTGTTAATTTTTTCAATCTGTAGTTTTGTCGTTGGTTGTCGTCGGTTTGCTGAATTTTAATTTTGTTGTGCTCAAGGCTCAAGGCGACCTTCGCCCCTATTGTTTCGTATCAGTATCAGGGGTTTGGGGATTTTTTGTTAGTTTGTGGGTGGTCGGCGGATGCTCTGGTGTGATTTGCTCCTTCACCTCTATCCTATCAAATAGCTCCTCCTTCTTTTTTTGTTTTTGTTACTCTCTTGTAACGCCTCTAATCTTCGGCACTTATATAACCTTATTTTTTGTTGCAAGTGCCGTAAAACTCTTACAAAACTTTGTTGGGATTTTTTTTTCAGAGTCTTTGATTGTTAGGCTTTGTGAGAGGTTGGTGGACGCTCTTTCTGATATTGAGTTTTCCCTCTCGGTAACGTTGCACTTTTCATCCTTTTTTCTCTTTCACTTTCATCTAATCTGTTCCTTACCGAATGAAGCAAGTTACAGGACTAACTCTCATGTTTTGTTAGTAGTGTTCTTATCTTATATGACCTTTAAAACCAAACTATTCTTATTGTTTTCAATACTTTCAGTTTTACTTAAACTTAATTCAATATTATGTGTGTGTGTATATATAATATGTGTGGTCAGAATGTTTCAGTCAGGTTAGTTCTGTCCCCGTGGTTTTATGCACCCCGCAAAATTTGATCAATTTTTGCATAATTTCTGATTATTTTCCTGTATCATTCTTTGTTAAAATTAACAGAATCGCATAATTTCACATTTTTGGGCTCTGTTTGCATAATTTCAGAATTTTTCTTGCATAAAATGACTGGGACAGGTAGTAGGAACAATATCTCAACTTTGTAAGACCTTTTTTATCGGAGCACTTCAGTGAACCTGTCTTGTTGGTGGTTGGCGGGTGCTCTTGTGTGGTTTACTCCTTCTTTCTTAGCAAACATCTATCTATCATCCTTATCCCTCCTCCTTCTTTTTTACGTTTGTTACTCTCTTGTAACACCTCTAATCTTCGGCACTTGTGTGACCTAATTGTGGTGCAAGTGCCGTAAAACACTCACACTTACTGACATGAACCTGTCATGTTGTGAGGCATTTGTCAAGGACAAAGGAAGAAATATATATATATATATATATATATATATATATATATGTATATATATATAATATATGTGTTTGTATCATGTGGTTGCTTTGAAGCACAAGGGGGCTATCCCGATAAATGCTGTTTTGAGAAAATGGAAGTTAAAGTTTTTGGGTCCTTACTTTATTTAAAAGACAAGGAGAGTTTTCTCTATAACCAAACAAATACACACACCAATGAAACCAAACTTCTCTTATTCCTATAGGTAGGGCAATGCCCACTTTTGGTGTAGGTCAAGATTTCTGGAAACCCCGGAAATCTGGGATAGCCCACTTGTCTTTGAAAGCGACCATATGTGATGCAGGTTGGTGGAATCAGGCTCTCGTCAATTTCCGTAGCTTAAGAGTCCGTGGTAACTGAAAATTTCCATTTTTGAGCCTTTAATTAACGTTTTCCAGGAAAATCCACACAGAAATGAGTTCTTTAATGGGCATGAAAGGTGTTGAGCCAAAAAACAAAAATCTGATAAAAATTCACAAACCTGAGGAAAAATGCAAGTTTCTTCACTTTGATTATTTTGACGAGAGCCTGAATCCACCGCACTGCCTCACATATTTACATGGTTCGTGTGTGTGTGTGCATAGCTACATGGTTTGACCCCTCTTAGTTTGTTTCGTAATACTGTTTGACCCTTCACTTTTTATTTCAATAAGAATGAATTGTGAGACATCGTGGTAAAATCAGGTAGGCCTACTCGTCAAAATAATGAAATTGAAGAAATCTGCATTTTGAGAGGGTTTGGCAATTTTGATCGAATTTTTGTGTTTTTTAGCTGATCACCTTTTTTTTATGTTCATTTAAAAAAACATCTTTCTGTGTGGATTTTACTTGAGAACGTTGATTAAAGACACAAAAAAATGTATATTTTAAGTTTCCAAGG